TTACACCAAATACACAAAATAATGTTCTTTTTAGCAACATCATATGACCCCTTTAATGAGTTCACAGAAAAAAAATATTTAAATATTTTTTCCAGTTTAGAATGCTTGACGTTTCAGTCAAAAATAAACTGTATATTTTAAACGTTTCTTATTATTTAGGATTAATGAGTTCTAGGTAAAAATACAATTTTATTTTTAATATTTTTCATAGTTTAGTAGTTTTAATTCCTTGTTTTATTGTTGTGATTATTTTTTTCTTTTCTTTTATGTAAAGCACTTTGAATTACCATTGTGTATGAAATGTTCTATATAAATAAACTTGCCTTGCCTTGCCTTAATGAGTTTTCAGTAAAAATAAATAAATAAATTTAAAAAAATTCATAGTTTAGAAGGCTTAATGAGGTCTTAATGTGTAAGAATAATTTGTATGTATTTCTATATATTCTTTATAGTTTAGAAGGCTTGATGAATTCTCAGTAAATACATTTTTTATTTTATCTGAATATTTTTCATAGTTTAGAAGACTTCAGTTTTCAGAATAAATGATTTCTTTTAATTTTAAAGTTCTTTTTATTTTATAGTTTAGGATCGAGTTCAGTAAAAAAAAAAAAAAACTGAAATAAATTCTAAAGTAAATCAATTATTTTATTTTAATACATAGTTCAATTTTTCCTGTAGTGTGAATCGATACGTTTTTGTAATAAAAATATCCATATTCAAAATGTAATAATCACTTTAATGTAGCTTGCGCCAACAGCTGTACATGGAAGCAGCTCTGGGAGGTTGACGTATGAGTTCAGCATTGCGCATGCGCCGGTGAGTCTCGTGAAAACCAACGTTTGTTAACAGAAGCAAAGGAAGCAAAGTTTCCTTACTTTAGCAAAGGAAAACCAGTCTTCTCTTGGCTTATATCGAAATCCTCTGACATTCTTCTTTACAAATCCTCGTTTTGTACTTCTAATAAGTGACCGTTGTTTTGTTTTGATTTCTCCCCTGCGCTTCCGCATTCGTCACTTCTGAGCGGCACATGCGCAACACCGACGTCTTACATCATCCGCCCGGAACGCCTTCCGTGTACAACAGTGAGCGCAAGCTAGATTAATTGATTGATTATTACATTTTGAATATGGATATTTTTATTACAAAAATGCATCGATTCGCTACAGGAGGTCTTTGTTCACCCCCCGGAGCCGTGTGAGGCACTTTTTATTATGGATGGATGCACTTTATTTCACTTCTTTTGGACTGATGAACTGCAACACCCGCTGACTGCCATTAAACAGCTTGGAAGATCAAAGACAATTTTTAATATAACTCCGACTGGATTCGTCTGAAAGAAGAAAGTCATATACGCCTAGGATGCCTTGAGGGTGAGTAATTCATCGGCTTATTTTCATTTTTGGGTGAACTAACCCTTTAAGGAGTTCTCTGTAAAAACATTTTATTTGACTCACGGTTTGGAAAAGCCCTTGGCCTTGAGCCAGGTGGTGACCTCGGCCGGGCTGGAGTCAAACGCCAGCGGGACAGTAGACTGACGCACCACCTTGAAGTTCCTCGTGGGCTGTTGAATCTTATTTCCACTGATCAACATGAGCAGCTCATCGTTCACTTTATCCATCTGTTGAGTGTGACCTGAGGACAGTGAAGAAACATGTTAAATACACAGAATCTGATCTTATTTATCTCGTATATTTGTCTCAAACTCACCGTCTTTTTCACTGCCCATTGAGCCGGAGGGAGACTGTCCACGGTATGGCTGTGTGAGAGACAAAATAATGATTCATTAGTATTTTTAATGATCAAAAATGACTTGTTTTTCTGCTGTTGTACTGTGTAAATGTGTTTACCAGACTATAAGGTATTCCTGGACTGTATGGCGGGTCAATCATAGTTTGAGGGTCCTCCAGTTTTACCACATCCAGGATATTATAGGGCACGTATCCCGCCTGTCCACTTCGATTCCTCAGCTTCCACCACTGCTTATCATCCTCCAACACCTTAAAACACACAACCATTAGTTCCTTCAGAACACAACTTGTATTGCACCAAATTTAGCAAGTGCTTTTTGTCAAAGGAATGTGCATAGCAGCTAAGATCAGCTCATCTTTTGGGAATTTGATGAGAAATGTTAGTTCATAATGAGATCTCTGACGTTTGAGACAATTTAAGAGTGATTTGAGAGGAAACAATTTTCTCAGGAGAATCATCTTGAGAATCATCTCCATTAGAGCTCAATTTAATCTCATTGCTGTCTTTGAGAAGCACTTGAGATGTTAAATGTGATTTTTCAGTCTTCATACTCAGGCCCGTAACCAGCTATGAGGCCACCGAGGTCCGGACCTCTGTAAATTTTTGATGTTCAAAAATAAACTTTGTTCTTTGACTAATTTGCTGTTAAACTCCTCATATGAATGCCTGCATGACATGTATAATTCAGTTTAGACAGTTTGCAAGAATGTTTAGCGTCCCTGTTATGAAAATGATCGCTGCGGAGTGAACGAGGCTTGAGAGAGTTGTGAGTGAAGGCGCGGGCGCAGCTATTTTAAGCGTTTTTGGACTTGTCTTTTCCACTTAATTTAACACTTTAGAAAGTTAATAAAATAGGAAGTTGCAGTTTACTGTCAGCGATATCTTTATCTTATCTTATTTGCAAAAGATTGGAAATAGTTTTGGTTTATTTTTATTAATTTTTTTGTTTTAGTATCAATATCTGGCAACACTGCATCGCCGGCACTTAAAACTGAAAGCAATCAAAAAAGCCCATGGACAGGTTTTTGCTGACAGGATATGACATTCAGTAACGGAAAAGCGAAAATTATCATGATATTATCTGTCATAAACGTTATCAACGCTGTCAAAAACAGTAGCATTTAACACTAGTACACACAGATCTGTAGAACAAGTAGATTACAGAATGAAATGAAATACGCAAAAACTAGCCATGAAGAAGTCTATGCTATGTCATGCAGTATAGTTAAATTTTCACAAATCATGCTACAAACGTTCATAAGAGCACTAGACAAAGTTATTGTAGTTATGTATTGTTGCAATAAACAACTGATAAAATTATCCACCCTTAAATATAGTAAAGTATTAACACATTTTAATGCAATAAATAGGGTATGATTTAAAAATAATCATCCCTCCAAAACAGAGAAAACATGTCTGTCTCCTTTTAAAGTGTTTATAGTGTATATAATGAGTTGTATTTGTAGGGGTTATTATAACACAATTCTTTAAAACCAACCCCCATCATATCACCAGTCGAATCGGGGTGTCGGATCTGTATGGCTGTTTGACCCTAAAGTTCATTATTTTACTTTATAAAGTGTAAATTATTCTTCGCTTCAGAAGGCCTTTATTAACCCACCAGAGCCATGTTGAGTATGTTTATGATGGATGGATGCACTTTTTTGAGCTTCAAACTCATGGCAGCCATTCACTGCCATTATAAAGCCTGGAAGACCTCACTAATTTTCAAAGTCTGGATACGGCCATGTTCATACCTCCAGAATTTCATCCTGAAGCACCGACAGCTCGTTTACGTTACGTGCCACAAAGTGGTAGCGGATCTTTGCATACTTGCGAGAAGCAGGAGACATTGAGAAAGACCTGGAAAAAACATGAGTGCAACAAGCTGATCAGAAACAAAATCTTCACATGGAGCGAAAGTCATTCAACATTCCCTTTACCATTACTATCACACTGAAAGGGGCAGGTTGCCACAATGATTTTGGAACTATCAAAAGAAAATGAAAAGAAATCTTGCCATTTAATATAAAATATGCTATTTAATAAAGTGCTGCAGGGATGTTGTATTCTTGTAGACCAAAACCCAGAAATTAGTTTGAATTTTAGCACTTCTGGTTCCATCGTCCTTAAGTCAATGGGTTTTTTGAATGGGACTTTGGGTTAAAGGACTCTCTCATGTCGTTCCAAACCTGTAAGACCTTTGTTCATCTTCGGAACACAAATTAAGATATTTATGATGAAATCGGAGAGCTCTCTGACCCTTCATAGACAGCAAGGGTACTACCACGATCAACGCGCACAAACGTAGTAGGATATCGTTAAAATAGTTCATGTGACAACTGTAATTTTATGAAGCTACGAAAATACTTTTTGTGTGCAAAGAAAAACAAAAATAACCATTTTATTCGACAATTTCTTCCCCTTCAGTCAGTCTCCGCCATTCACGAGAGTACCACGATGCATGCACATGCATGTCTATCAAAAATATCTTAATTTGTGTTCCGAAGATGAACGAAGGTCTTATGGGTTTGAAACAACATGAGGGTGAGTAATTAATGACAGAATTTTCATTTTTGGGTGAACTATCCCTTTAAATGCCTGAAATAAGGTTTGTTTGTTTTCATGTTTTATTCTACAAAATATAATGCATCAGTATTCCCTCTTTGATTTTAAAAGCTTTTACTTGTCTTGAACAAGGCGGTTGCAAAAAAGTGGCTAAATGGGTCTAGAGGTTGTCTGCAACATTAAATGTCAACACACTGAACAGGTGAACTCATCTAGTCGCTTTATAATGGCTGTAATAAAACTACTCGAACTCAAACTTTCAGGGAAAATGTTTTTAAACAAAGACCGAAAATGTTGAGGGAAGCTAAACAGTGGTGACGTTGAAGTCATGTGACTTCACTTATAGCCTGTGTTTAGCTTTTTACTTTTGGCAAAGGTATTTAGGCTTCAAAAGTTATCAGTCGTGATGATTATCATGATTAAAATATGTAGGAATCAAAGTTTTGTTGGTTACACATCTTATTTTCTGCAACAATCCAAAAGCCAATAGAAAAATGCTATTGGGTTTTTGATGAGGGAACCAGGGTGATGGGAACTTATGAAAAAAATAATAAAACACCAAATTCGTGGAATGCCATTGTTTTGGCTCAATGAAATTGTAATTAATAAAATGTAAAAAACTTCATGTGACAACTTGCCATAAACTGACATTTACTACAAGACACCATTTATTCCTGAACTATTTTGATTAAATATACGGTGATTGTCTGAATGTATATCAGTTTTAGCCAAAAAAGATGAAATAGTCATTTTAGTTTGAATGACACAATTCACTTAAATTCTAATTTAATTCTAGATCAGAGGGAAACATCTTGGAATGACCTCGTTGCTGGAAGGACCTCATGAAATCATTCGCAGAAGGTGTTCTTTGGTTGGGTCTCAATCATTTTTAAAACATGTCCAAGTGTGACCAGCCAAAAAATAATCAAGGTTTTTAACCTTTTAAACACAAGAAGTGCCTTTTTTCTAATATTTACTACAGATCAAAACCTCAAAGTTTCTTAGATATAAACATGACAACTAACTCACCCGTTTGAAGAGAGCGATGACTGTGATCCATAGAACTGAGATGGAAAAGATGATATGCATTTAATACAGAGAGGAGGTTTTCACACAGAAGAGATGGTGATGTTTCATCACTCTCACCTCTTTGGGTCTGTATTCTGTCTGCACCGGCGCACCGGCGGTCTCCGTCTCCCACGGCGACGAGCGGAATAGTTATCATGATATTATCTGTCATAAACGTTATCAACGCTGTCAAAAACAGTAGCATTTAACACTAGTACACACAGATCTGTAGAACAAGTAGATTACAGAATGAAATGAAATACGCAAAAACTAGCCATGAAGAAGTCTATGCTATGTCATGCAGTATAGTTAAATTTTCACAAATCATGCTACAAACGTTCATAAGAGCACTAGACAAAGTTATTGTAGTTATGTATTGTTGCAATAAACAACTGATAAAATTATCCACCCTTAAATATAGTAAAGTATTAACACATTTTAATGCAATAAATAGGGTATGATTTAAAAATAATCATCCCTCCAAAACAGAGAAAACATGTCTGTCTCCTTTTAAAGTGTTTATAGTGTATATAATGAGTTGTATTTGTAGGGGTTATTATAACACAATTCTTTAAAACCAACCCCCATCATATCACCAGTCGAATCGGGGTGTCGGATCTGTATGGCTGTTTGACCCTAAAGTTCATTATTTTACTTTATAAAGTGTAAATTATTCTTCGCTTCAGAAGGCCTTTATTAACCCACCAGAGCCATGTTGAGTATGTTTATGATGGATGGATGCACTTTTTTGAGCTTCAAACTCATGGCAGCCATTCACTGCCATTATAAAGCCTGGAAGACCTCACTAATTTTCAAAGTCTGGATACGGCCATGTTCATACCTCCAGAATTTCATCCTGAAGCACCGACAGCTCGTTTACGTTACGTGCCACAAAGTGGTAGCGGATCTTTGCATACTTGCGAGAAGCAGGAGACATTGAGAAAGACCTGGAAAAAACATGAGTGCAACAAGCTGATCAGAAACAAAATCTTCACATGGAGCGAAAGTCATTCAACATTCCCTTTACCATTACTATCACACTGAAAGGGGCAGGTTGCCACAATGATTTTGGAACTATCAAAAGAAAATGAAAAGAAATCTTGCCATTTAATATAAAATATGCTATTTAATAAAGTGCTGCAGGGATGTTGTATTCTTGTAGACCAAAACCCAGAAATTAGTTTGAATTTTAGCACTTCTGGTTCCATCGTCCTTAAGTCAATGGGTTTTTTGAATGGGACTTTGGGTTAAAGGACTCTCTCATGTCGTTCCAAACCTGTAAGACCTTTGTTCATCTTCGGAACACAAATTAAGATATTTATGATGAAATCGGAGAGCTCTCTGACCCTTCATAGACAGCAAGGGTACTACCACGATCAACGCGCACAAACGTAGTAGGATATCGTTAAAATAGTTCATGTGACAACTGTAATTTTATGAAGCTACGAAAATACTTTTTGTGTGCAAAGAAAAACAAAAATAACCATTTTATTCGACAATTTCTTCCCCTTCAGTCAGTCTCCGCCATTCACGAGAGTACCACGATGCATGCACATGCATGTCTATCAAAAATATCTTAATTTGTGTTCCGAAGATGAACGAAGGTCTTATGGGTTTGAAACAACATGAGGGTGAGTAATTAATGACAGAATTTTCATTTTTGGGTGAACTATCCCTTTAAATGCCTGAAATAAGGTTTGTTTGTTTTCATGTTTTATTCTACAAAATATAATGCATCAGTATTCCCTCTTTGATTTTAAAAGCTTTTACTTGTCTTGAACAAGGCGGTTGCAAAAAAGTGGCTAAATGGGTCTAGAGGTTGTCTGCAACATTAAATGTCAACACACTGAACAGGTGAACTCATCTAGTCGCTTTATAATGGCTGTAATAAAACTACTCGAACTCAAACTTTCAGGGAAAATGTTTTTAAACAAAGACCGAAAATGTTGAGGGAAGCTAAACAGTGGTGACGTTGAAGTCATGTGACTTCACTTATAGCCTGTGTTTAGCTTTTTACTTTTGGCAAAGGTATTTAGGCTTCAAAAGTTATCAGTCGTGATGATTATCATGATTAAAATATGTAGGAATCAAAGTTTTGTTGGTTACACATCTTATTTTCTGCAACAATCCAAAAGCCAATAGAAAAATGCTATTGGGTTTTTGATGAGGGAACCAGGGTGATGGGAACTTATGAAAAAAATAATAAAACACCAAATTCGTGGAATGCCATTGTTTTGGCTCAATGAAATTGTAATTAATAAAATGTAAAAAACTTCATGTGACAACTTGCCATAAACTGACATTTACTACAAGACACCATTTATTCCTGAACTATTTTGATTAAATATACGGTGATTGTCTGAATGTATATCAGTTTTAGCCAAAAAAGATGAAATAGTCATTTTAGTTTGAATGACACAATTCACTTAAATTCTAATTTAATTCTAGATCAGAGGGAAACATCTTGGAATGACCTCGTTGCTGGAAGGACCTCATGAAATCATTCGCAGAAGGTGTTCTTTGGTTGGGTCTCAATCATTTTTAAAACATGTCCAAGTGTGACCAGCCAAAAAATAATCAAGGTTTTTAACCTTTTAAACACAAGAAGTGCCTTTTTTCTAATATTTACTACAGATCAAAACCTCAAAGTTTCTTAGATATAAACATGACAACTAACTCACCCGTTTGAAGAGAGCGATGACTGTGATCCATAGAACTGAGATGGAAAAGATGATATGCATTTAATACAGAGAGGAGGTTTTCACACAGAAGAGATGGTGATGTTTCATCACTCTCACCTCTTTGGGTCTGTATTCTGTCTGCACCGGCGCACCGGCGGTCTCCGTCTCCCACGGCGACGAGCGGAATAGTTCCAGCGGCGGCTCCCAGCCGTTCCGGAACTTTGGGACGTACAGAGGAGCGCACTGATCTTTTGGCCAATCAGCTCTAAGATACACAAAGACACGCCCAGAATCAGACAACATACAGACTGATCAGTTTTTCTACGACTGATGCTAGTCTAGAGACGGATCATTTTTATTTTGACACCTTTCTTTCTTTATTCATTCATTCATTCATTCATTCATTCTAAAGAGATACCATCAAATATATCCCATATTATTTCATACGATAAAAATAATATCATCCATTAAAAAACATCAGTTGATTACTAGTCAACACTGCTAAAATTTAAACATGTAAAAAATTATTCACAATCAAACATACATACTAATGGGTTTTTTTTTCAATGATTGATGCTAATCTAGAGATAATATTTTATTTTGATTGATTTTGATCTATTTAGTTAGTTAGTTAGTTATTTTATTTTAAAGAGATAACATTAAATGCACCCAATAATAATAATAATTTTTTTCAGACATTAAAAAAAACTAATATCAGTTGATCACTAGCCAACACTGCTAAAATTCTAAATATTACACAATATTTATTTAATTCACAATAACACATACATACTAATTGTTTTTTTCAATGATTCCGGCTAATCTAGAGAAAAGATATTTATTTTGATATTTTAAAATTATTTATTCTAAAGAGATAGCAAAATATATCCTGTAATGTTTTATATTAATATATATAATAATAATAATAATAAAAATAATAATAATAATAATATCAGCCATTAAAAAAACTCATGTCTGTTGGTCACTAGTCAAAACTGCTAAAATTAAAAAATATTGCATAATTGATCAAAATTCACAGTTTCCAATGACTGATGCTTATCTAGAGAGAAGATATTTTATTTTGATACATTTTAAAATGTATTTATTCATTCTAAAGATAACATAACATAAGATATATCTAATAATAATAATAATATCAGCCATTATATAGGTCGATCACTAGTCAAAACTGCTCAAATTAAAAACTTTACACTATTTGCTCAATTCCCAGTAAACCTAAGTAATCCTGTTTATTTAACCATTGAAATGCCAATTTTGGGATTGACACAAGAGGGAACTACCATCATCTGATACTGATCATCTCAAAATGAGAAACACTGGCTGATTACGCAGCTCGATGTATCTGTTTACCACTGGCACACACACACTCCTGTAACACATCCACAGTGGCTGAATCATCACCTGGGTCGCGTCCAACCGTCTCCCAGCAGCTCAAAGATGGTCATCTCTTTGGGAGTCAGGTGTCCTCTCAGGAAGTCCACTGTGTCCCGGGACAGGTGAGGAGAGATGACCGCACGCGGCAGCTCGGGACTGCCACAACTCTGCAGTATCTGAATTCACACACATACAAGTTTTTTTAGTAATCAAGAGCTGTGTACAAAGTGTACACATTATGATTGAATGAGGCCTGAATGAGTCATTGCAAAATAACTGTTATACACCATTGCATTCTGTTGTTATACCAAACAGGATGATGATGATGATTATAATTATTACTATTATTGTGCTACTGTCAAAGGGCAATTTTTTGGGGTGTTCTCAAAGGTAAGTAAGATTCATAATGATTTCATAGCAAAATATATCCTGTAATGTTTTATATTAATATATATAATAATAATAATAATAAAAATAATAATAATAATAATATCAGCCATTAAAAAAACTCATGTCTGTTGGTCACTAGTCAAAACTGCTAAAATTAAAAAATATTGCATAATTGATCAAAATTCACAGTTTCCAATGACTGATGCTTATCTAGAGAGAAGATATTTTATTTTGATACATTTTAAAATGTATTTATTCATTCTAAAGATAACATAACATAAGATATATCTAATAATAATAATAATATCAGCCATTATATAGGTCGATCACTAGTCAAAACTGCTCAAATTAAAAACTTTACACTATTTGCTCAATTCCCAGTAAACCTAAGTAATCCTGTTTATTTAACCATTGAAATGCCAATTTTGGGATTGACACAAGAGGGAACTACCATCATCTGATACTGATCATCTCAAAATGAGAAACACTGGCTGATTACGCAGCTCGATGTATCTGTTTACCACTGGCACACACACACTCCTGTAACACATCCACAGTGGCTGAATCATCACCTGGGTCGCGTCCAACCGTCTCCCAGCAGCTCAAAGATGGTCATCTCTTTGGGAGTCAGGTGTCCTCTCAGGAAGTCCACTGTGTCCCGGGACAGGTGAGGAGAGATGACCGCACGCGGCAGCTCGGGACTGCCACAACTCTGCAGTATCTGAATTCACACACATACAAGTTTTTTTAGTAATCAAGAGCTGTGTACAAAGTGTACACATTATGATTGAATGAGGCCTGAATGAGTCATTGCAAAATAACTGTTATACACCATTGCATTCTGTTGTTATACCAAACAGGATGATGATGATGATTATAATTATTACTATTATTGTGCTACTGTCAAAGTATTTGTAATTTTAATTATTTTTTTATAAAATGCAAAAAGTTGTCTTTGCGGTAGCATTAGCATTAAGGTTTTGGTCTGTAGTAATTTTAATCAATTTCTAAAAAAAAAAAAGGATACATATAACAACATAAAATATAATATAATATATAATATACTAATTACTTATACAATGACATAGCTCAGCCAGAATTTAGATAAATCTGCCCATTTTGGGGTGTCCTCAAATTTAAACCTCAAATTTAAGTCCTCAAATGTTCTTTGTATTTGTATTTTTATTTATTTATTTTTTTTAATCCAAAAAGTTGTCTTTTAGCAATAACATTAGCATTTATTTATATTTTATTTGCATTTTTAATTGTCTTTATTTATTTATTTATTTATTTTGTTTGCAATTTTAATTCTTTTTTTTATTATTATTATTAAATCCAAAAAGTTGACTTTTAGTGGTAACATTAGCATTTATCTAGTCTGACGTAATTCTAAGCATCAATTTTTATAATAAAAGCAACAGAAGTTTATGGTGTGTTTTTATTTTGTGCATGTGTTCAGTTCCTCACCAGTTCCAGAGGCCCAAACAGGAAGTGCACTAGCTCTGCAGCGGTAGGGTTCTGGATGTGTTTCTTCAGTTTGGCCTGTAGAGGGCGCACACAAACAGTCAACACATTTCACTCACTCACATTATGGGCCTCTTTCATGAAACAGCAGAAATAAAGTTGCATGCATTTCATCCATAAAACAATTCTTACATAAATTGTCACTTAAACTAAAAACAACCAATTTTTTGTTTATAACGAAATTTGCTCTTGTTTTTTTCAGCATGTCATAAAATGTTTACATTCGAGTGCAAATATTCCAGATGATCTTTTAAATAAAACCACAGCAGTTTTGCATGAGTTAAAACATTGTTTATTTATGTTTAAAGGCTTTTTTTTCAGTTTAGGAACAATGCGATACAGGCTAAACCCACCAGCAGATTGAAAGAGAGTTTCAGCTTCTGAAGACAGTCGATAAACTCGCCTTCTGATGGCGGTTTAGCTCGTAGTGTTAGCATTCCCTCTAAAACACACACACGAGAACCATGTTTGTATAGCAAAGCATGTAAATGTATTTACACGTGTTGCTTTCCTAAGCATAACTAGCTAATAAGTGCTTTGTTGAATGAATAAACGAATGCTGCATTAAATCAAATGCATATGTACCTGCCGGTCCTCTCTTTTTGTTTTTCTTGCTCCTGTTGCGCTGGTTGAGTTGCGCGAAAGCCTCTGCCGCTTTATGAAGACGTGCAACGAAGATCTCGATGTCGTCTAGAGTGCAGTTCAGGATTTGCTGAATGACACACACAGAGTGAAAACACACGGCCTGAGTTACAGCGTTACGTCTGGTCTGATGTAACCACGAATCTGATGCACTCAATGGTTGAGTGTGTTTTACGTGTGTGTGTGTGGAAATCCAGTGTTACGCAGGCACTCACCACGTCCTTTTCGATCCGCTGGGCCAGTTTCATATTGGACTCGGGGTCCTGCATCGACAGTTCATCTGAGACAAACATGCAGAGTATTTACGATCCATGCATTTACTGTAAACGTAAGCATATAGGCATTTTGCTTCTGTGTGTTTGGCACCTTTCATGTCCGTAGCTGCAACGCGACCCTTGACCCCAGGGCCAGGATTTCTAGGCTCAGAGGCCGGGATGATGCTCTCCCGTTGGCGTTTCATCTTTTCTTGGTTCATCCTGGTGTAGAGGAGAGAGAAAATGCCTGTGCTCAAAAACTTAGTTTGCAGCCTACGTAGGAAGTATTTTAAGTATTTAAGTATTTCAGTCTGCCTTAGTATTTTAAGGCAGACTGAAAGGTAGTTAGCAACTTTAAACAGAGATAATTTTGGCAAAGTTTAGTATTTGCCCGAAATTACCCTTGTCAGCACGTATAATTTGTTGAGAATGCAATCCCTTAATGCAATGTGACGGGCTCAGATGGTGGAGAATGCGGGCAATGTCAATTATAAACTTTTATACACTTATAAATTATAAACTAATCAATTAATTCAGTACTAAAAAGAATCCAAGTTGGTCTAATCTAATTCAAAACTGACTAGCAACACCCTTTACAACCATTTAGCAACGGCCTTAACCCACTCAAACACCCCAACAACCACCTAGAAGTGCCTTTGACCCTGCAAAGCCTGACATATAGGGCTGTAACGATTCACTCGTTTTCTCGATGCATCGATTACAAATCCTGACGATGCAATGCATCGATCTTGCAACATGGATTTTTGAATCGTGAATCGCCGATTTCAGACAGTAATCGTTTAAAATGTTAAAAATCGAATGAATCGCGATTTCTATAGCGATTCAATGCTTTCAAAATATATACACATTAAAATACTACAAGCACGAATTAACGGAGACCTTGAACAGTGTTCGTGCCCACGCATCTCACCTTCATGCGCTCCACTATTTACCGCCTGAGACTGTCACAGGATTGCGCTCGCGCTCCGTTCGTCTCACTGACACATTTTTTGAGCAGCTGATGTGTGATCTCTCCTTAGTACTCGTGGCCAGTAATGCTAAAGTGAAGTACCTTTACTTTTCTGTAGTTTTTCAATGGCTCTCGGTCATACCGACGACATTACCTGAGCAGTCGAAGGCTGCACATTTATTGGAAAGAGCAAAAATGTAAATGTCTAAAGCATACACACAGTTCCACTGAATGAGAAATGTGTTCTAACAATGTCGTTGAACCAAATGTATGAAGGAAACTGTTAAAATAACCACAGCATTAACACAACCTTGAAATAAGAGCGCAAGGTTTATCTGATAATCAGATCATGAAAGTAGCGTTCTTTGCTATAGCAAACAGACAACTGCGCGTTTTCCTTCAGAATCATCATTCGCAGATGGAGAGGAAAAGTTAAAGACTATAGCATTTTATTTTATGAGAATGAGATAAAGAAGTTTTCGCACTGAAAGAGAAGTGATCTCGCGCTCATAGACGTGCCAGGCTAAATCTGCAGATAAACTGTATACAAAGCAGAATGAACTGAAACGTTAAGACAATAAACACAATAAATAAATAACATTTTTGAATGATGCAGTGCTAATTGACATATCATTTATTACAGTACAGAAACTATAAAGTATATTTTCTACCTTATTCTGTGCAGAAAATTGAAATAATTGTTTGTAGTATATAAAACGATCATAAAATTGCCATTAGGAAAAAATTATAGATTACAAATGATTGATTATTGTCCAGCAGTGTTTTTGATTTCTTATAGCAAATTCAAAGTAAGAGAAGAAAATAATTCCTTGTAAAAAAATAATAATAATAATAATAATACGTACATACATAAAATTATTGTATTTGACATTTCTGTCACTTCTGAAATGATGGCTATGCCCCTGGTGTGACAAAATGTTAGCCTATACATAATACTTTTAAAGCTCTTTTTTTAAATCTTGGCTTACATAAATTTCTACATGTGCCATGTCATGCCCCATAGCATCATTAAACTAGCATCTAACAATGGACAAAAGTGGGTTTTTTTCTGTAACTTATGGTTCTCTAACCATAAAGGCTGCTGTGTAATTTGCCCCCTGACTAAGCATTTTTTTAAAGAATTTAGGGGAAGCATTGAAATAATCCTGTGAATGCACTTAAAGAATGCAGAATCGAATCGTTAATCGAATCAAATTGAATTGTTCTGAATTTGCAAAAATCGTTCTTGAATTGAATCGAAAACCTATGAATCGTGAATCGAATCGATTCGCTATCTACCCAAAGATTCACAGCCCTACTGACATATTAAATAATGGTCCAAGTTTGTGAAATGGAAAAGTTTGTTGAATCTTTAGACAAAATATAAAATAATCCACAAAAAAAGTTGTAGCATATTTTTTTGCTGTTGTTTTTGTTAAGTATCATATTTGATATATCAGGCTTTTATGGTTCATATAGTGTTATATAGTGATAATATGGAGCTCATACTTGAGGATGCCCAAACTGAGCAAAAATATGCAATTTGGGACTGTTTCTGATATTTATATGGCCAAAAAGATAAATTTCTAATAGCTTGTAATGTAAATCAATTAAATTTTTATAAGAGTAGAGCAGACTACTTCTATAAAATACTTATGAATATCAGTTGTCACACTTTTCTAAAATGAGATGTATGGATAATGTATACTACAAATACATTTACATACTTATGTACGTAATAAAAAATACCCTGCAGTTGTACTTTTAGTATACTAAACTGATATACTTAAGTCTGCTAAATTGGAACAACTACTCTTGGGCTTAATGCACTTTAATTGAAATTGAAATCCAACTAAATATCTACTTAAGTATATTTGATTGTGCTAAAGTGGAACTATTGCAAGTACACTTCACGTACACTTTAAATATCTTGCATTTGAAGGCCGATATTATTGAAAGATCATACAATCCTCATCAATAGTGACATTTAAAACACATTTTAGGCTTAATATTAAGAAATGTGCATTGTGTACTAGTAGTACTCTAATATCTGTAAGTCTCGAGTGTTATGTCAGTAAATATGTTAATAGATTTGAACTATACTTTGTATGAAATAAATGCAATTTAAAAGTATTACTTTTTTACTAGGGAATATAAAAGTTATTGTCATGCTTTATAAAAATCACTAAAGATTTCACAGTAAAAAAACAAGTGTACAACAACCTCACAGAGGATGTTTTTTACAATTTACAAGGCCTTTTACTCGTTAAAAAAGTCTAACTATCAATCAGATGACAGAAGGCGTGTAGTGTAGTGTTGTTTTTGGCGGCCTGTTTTAATTCTTGTTACAACACAGTAGGGCTATTGCAAACAGAAACAATACTGTACTACATCGATGTTTCCTGTCAGCTTGATTTTTGAGTGGACTTTGCTGTTCCGATGAGCATGAACGGTATACGAGTGGAGCAGTCACATGGGCCGCGAGTGACTGAGCGGAGCACACACGCGCATAGAGCGAGATAACACACACACACACACACACACACACAGAGTGGGATAATACCATACAGTCTATGGATAATACACACACGCATAGAGCGGGATAATACACAGAGCGTCACACGTTTTTTACACAGCACCCCTGCTCTCGACAGACCCCGGTTGGGAAACACTGCTCTAAATAATGCCGCGAGTGGGGCTTGAGGAAGTGACGTCGCCTGCGTCTGCGCAGTGCGACCTGATGCAGCCCCTGAAGCGAGACACAGGAAACAGAAATACTGCAAAATAATAATAATAATGCAACTAAACGAGACGAAATAACGTTATAACATTTCGTTTCGTCTCGTTTTGGTCAACGAAAGTAAAGAGGCATTTTAGCATAGTTTTTATTTTGTAAACCACATTTAGTCTCGTTTTTATTCGTCAACGATATTGCATTATACATTTATTTATAGTCATCGTCACATGACCAGCATTTTCGTCTCGTTTTCGTCACGTGATAAAGGTTCGTTGACGACGATATTTAGTCATAATTTTCGTTGACGAAAGCAACACTAGTGTAGTGTTTGTGTAAAACAGGTTTTTCAGCATGGTTTTGGTCATATTGATAATTTAGATGCCTTAGAAATGTGTGTATCAAATATGACACAGTACGAATTTATAGGGCTAAACATCCTAAGAACCACCTAGAAATTGCCTAAAACTACCTAAACACCCTAGCTTTTAATGATGGCTCATTTTGGCTAAATTATAGGCTTTGCCTTCCTATCATACAATTTGCAGAGACAAACTGCTTGTGATGAGCTCAGGTGGTGGAGAATGCGGGCAGCGTTGATTATAAATAGAACTAAATCAATACTAAAAAGTATCAAAATTGTTTGATCTAATTAAAAATTTACTATTTTACTCCATATTTGTGTGTTTTATGGGAATTTCTTTGTAAGCTTGGCATGCTAAATCAATTGCGAATTGCGTCTCCTGTGCACTTCTCATTAGTCACTTACAATGGCGCTAATATGTGTGTGTGTGTGTGTGTGTGTGTGTGTGTG